AACTCCTGAGCTCAAACAATCCGCCTGCCTCGGCCTCCCAGAGAGCTAAGATTACAGGCGTGAGCCACCGCGCCCGGCCCCAATTGTCTTAATTTCATTTTTAAATAAAGTATGAAACAGACAGGCAAACCACCTCACCTTTCATCGTAGAGTGCTTTTGTGATACCTCCTCCTGGAATACGGATACAAAACTCAGAATCATTTATTTCAGGAATGCATGGGCTTTTCTCCATTTCTTCCCAGTTAAGACTCTTTATTTTATTTTGAACGCTTTTTTGCATGGAAGGTGTAAGTAGGTACCGGAAGGGAGTACTAGAAACAATCACATAATTAACTTTTTAAAAACTCACAAATATGAACACTAAGGCAAATATCAGTTCTTTTAGCTAAAATTATCTTGTTCTCCACGTATTCCTTCTGCTGTGAGGCCTGTAATGTCTATTGTGAGTGTTAGAAATTTTGCCGGAAGGCAAAATACAAGTTTCAGCAGACCCATGTAAAAAAAATTGCTTCAGTTTGGTATTTACACACTTAGGAAAGAGTGTAAAGAGACAGGAAAACTTAAAGCTTAAACTAAGGCAAGGCCATTGTGAAGGTAAACCTATTTCCCACAGCTATGCTCCCTTCTGCTGTGAGGCCTGTAATGTCTTTTGTGAGTGCTAGAAATTATCTCCAGTTTTGAAGGGTAACTCTTGCCTTATTGATATTTTTTCATCCTGATTTTATAGATGTATAAACAATAAAAGTTACACTCTAAATGATCTAAAGTTATATCTTAGAATATCAGAGTATTCTATATAGTATTTTATCAACTTTATGTGATGACAGTTTATATTTTTATTTCTGGGATACTTGTTTTATTTTATTTTATATTTTTTTTAACCCCTGAGCTATACCCCAACTTTGTCTTATATTTAAGAATTCACTCTGACATGCCAGGGAACTATACTTAAAGTTAACTGGATTGTTACAAATGCAAAATGGTTGCATATGTGAAAATAAATAGAAACATCAATTTAATCTTTCAAAAGTTATCAACCAATAAATCTTGGGGACCCTTTCTCCTCTTTCTCTTAATCAGCTGAGCTCCATGCACATGATGGCAAACACTAAAAGCAAGGTTCCAAAACTGTCTCTTTCTTTACACAAAAGCCTTCCTTGTGTCCCAACTGTACTAACCTCAGAGGAGCTAAAAGGATGTACCCAACTGTACTCCCTCCCATCTCCTTCTACCTTCCTCTTTCTAAATTCCAGTGAGCAGAGGTAAGGATACACGTAGCTTTTAACATTTTTTTTTTAACTTTTCAATAGAGAAATTATCATAGTGTAAACCATAACAAAAATAATTTTTTCAAAGGCAAGAACATACCTACGCAGCTGTAGATCATTACGGTGATATGAATGACTGCTTGAAAGAATAATAACTCTTGCAAAGTTACTACTTCTCACCCAGGAAAGTAGTTTTTCACAGAATGGCTTTGATTTATACTTTGTATACCATTAAAG